GTGTCATTTTTGATCACTATGCACTTTTTGAGACAGGGTTTTTCTTTGAACCTGAAGCTCACCCTTTCAGCTAGCCAACAGGTCCCAGGGACCCTCCTGTCACCACCTCCTCAGCGCCTAAATTATAGACACATGTGGCAGTGTCTGGCTTTTTATGGGGGTGCTGGGGATCTGAACCCAGGTCCTCATACTTGCAAGGCAAGCATGTTTCTGACTGAGCCACTTTCCCAGGCCCTGCTCCTGTCTTTGAGTAGCAACTGATCATTGATCTTCAAGATCGAAGTCCTGCCTGGGACCATGGTATGGGGCTAGGCCTTCTGGGGGAGCCTTCATCTCTCATCAGCCTTTGGCCCTGTGTCTCCATATTCATTCTGAGGGACTGCTTTCTCGGCTTACAGTGTTTGGTGTTCAGTGGTGCCTATCAAGTGAACGAATGGGCAAACCCCACTAGTCAGTAAACACTTATTGAGGTCCTGCTGTACGCCAGGGACTATTCTGTCAGCTTTGCGTCTTACAGTAGATGAGACCAACCCTCCATCATAGGAGCTTGATTCAGTATTTAGTGTGTTTAGAAACACGCCAGCGAGCCAAGACTCTCACAGCATATACACTGTCTTTATGAGGGAAGCAGTGTGGGCTGGAGTCTCTGGGTGATGGTGTCTTGGGAATAGGGATGAAGAGAGAGCAGTACTTAAGAGAGGTACTAGCTGGAGAATCCTAACTGCCAGTTATGAAGCCCCTGTCACAGCCAGTGCACCTACAATCAGATGTCCTCATCCACAGGTCTTATGTCTAAGGATGCAACCAAACCCATAGGAAAAATATTTGAAAAAATTTGTGCCAGTATTGAACAAATGTGGGCTTTTACCCTTTCCTGATTCTCTAAACAATACAGTATGACACCTGTTTGCATAGCTTTCACAGTGTGACAGGCATTATAAGTAACTGAGATCATTTAAAGTACATAGGAAGATGTGCATAGGTCACAAGCAAATATTGCACCATTTCATATACTTATCACCTGCAGATTTGGGGCTCTTTAGGGACCCTAAAACCATAGCAGATAGCCAAGGATGAATATGCTTTCCACTGACACTGTGTACCCCAAGCATCCTACAATGTAGATTTTTTTCTTTTTCTTTTTTTTTTTTTTTTTTTTTTTGGTTTTTCGAGACAGGGTTTCTCTGTGTAGCTTTGCGCCTCTCCTGGAACTCACTTGGTAGCCCAGGCTGGCCTCGAACTCACAGAGATCCGCCTGGCTCTGCCTCCCGAGTGCTAGGATTAAAGGCGTGCACCACCACCGCCCGGCAGATTTTTTTTTTAATATTTTAATTTTAATTTTGTGTGTATATGTCTGTGTTTTGTACTTATTCATGTGAATGCAGTACCCAAGGAGGCCAGAAGAGGGAGTCAGATTCCCTGGGGCTGGAAAGTTAAAGACTTCCCAGCTGCCTACTGTGATGCTGGGCAACAGAACTTGGGTCCTCTGCAAGAGCAGTGTGTACTCTCAACTGCTGATCCATTTCTCCAGCCCCTAACATGGGCTTTTTATTGGCTTCGTTTCACAGACGAGACACCGAGGCCCCAGGAGCTGATTATGAGGCTCATGGAGTCTCTCCCAGGGGAGAAGATGATGAACATGTAATTTGAACTTGGGCACTTGGCTCCACTGCTGGGGGAGGGGAGGGAGGGTGGCATGAGGGTCTGCAGGAGCTAGTCTTCTTCGGAGGACTCTGGAGCTGCCCTGGTGGCAGTCTTGTCTCTAACACCGCATGTCCCCGAATGTGGGGCTGTCATCACCAAGCCAAGGCCTCCGGTGCCCTTTCCCCAGGAGGAGACCGAGCGGTTCAAATTACAGCTGCCCACACCCAGTATGGATCCTATGAGTTTACACAGCCCCCTAAATGAAAATTACATATTACTGCAATTTATAATCAGCAGCCCGCCATTTGTAGCTGCAGGGGAGGCGCGGAGTGCTCTGGGAAGCTGTCAACAGCGCTGGGCCCGCTGGGTTCTGGAAGGCAGGCAGTCACTCAGTGTTGACACTGCCACAGCCACAGTGGCGGGTGGGCGGGGGACCTGGCTATGTGGAGAATTTAAGCACTGATTCAGTCCTGCAAATACGCCCGTCTGGAGGCCCCTCCAGAGCCACAACCCAGGGGTGATGACTCTTAGAAAGCCATCGTCACAGCCGTCTCCCACAGCTCTTTCTGCAGTCAGAAGCAAGGCTACAGGCCTGAGACGTAGGTACCTCGTTTGCCACCCTCGTTTTACACAGGTGGAAACAGGCTCAGCGAGGTTAAGCAACTCACTCAGGGTCATCCTGCTAGGAATTAGTGGAGACGATCCCCCAAAGAACTTGGATAGTTTTTATTTATTTATTTTTTTTTTTGGTTTTTCGAGACAGGATTTCTCTGTGTAGTTTTGGTGCCTGTCCTGAATCTCACTCTGTAGACCAGGCTGGCCTCGAACTCACAGAGATCCACCTGGCTCTGCTTCCCAAGTGCTAGGATTAAAGGCATGCGCCACTACCACCCTGCTTGAACTTGGGTAGATTTAAACACCAGGGTGGAGCCACAATGCTGCCCTGCCTGGACCTGCTTCCTCCCTCCCAGCCTCTCCAAAGGAAGCTTGTTGTGAGCAGAAACCATCAGCAGACTTCTGCAGAATCCCCAAGAACACACTCAGGAAGCGAAGCTGTGTGAAAAGCCCTTAGAACACATAGCCAGTGGTATGCTCTCTTGCATGTCTGTACATGCATCTACTATGTGTTCTGCATGCTTGCATCCTCCCCCATATGTGTGCAAGTGAGTGGCCAAGGGCTTTTGTATTATTATTGCTATTAGCCATAAGCACGTCTGTGTTCATGTTAAGTGTGTGTCAGATTTTTGCTGGGTTCTTCCCTGTGTTCTGAGTACAATCCTGTGTGATTTGCAAGTATCAATTAATTTTATCAGCAGATACACTCATCTCCCCACACCAGGGGCAAGGGACAGAGGCAAAGGAAGAGCATAAAGTCACTCGACATCCCTTCTTGGGATTAGAGTTGTATCTTCATTTATGCCTACTCTCCCTTTCTTTTTGGCCCACACAGTTAAGGGATTGGTTCTATGGCTCTGTCACACCAGGGTTAGCAGTGGGACAAAGGTGTGTCAAGTCAGAGTCACCGTGGTTGGTCCTAGCCGTCGAGGGTAATTCAGTGTCATTCAAAGCACAGCAGAGTCCCATCACAGTCTCCACCCCGGATCTCAGAAGCAGAGTCTCTGGGGCTGAGACCCAGGCATCTGGACTTCCACAGCCTCCAGGTCCTGAAGCCATCTGCCTGGGAGAGGGCCAGAAATCCAGCTCCTCCATTCAATAGCTGTGGGTAACTTCTGTGTGTGGTCTGCCTCAATTTCCATGTCCATGAAGTGGGGTAATGGCAGGCTTGAGTTAATCCCTATAAAATGCCTAGAGCAGCCCCTGGTGCTGCCACTGCCCTAATGCAGAGACAGACGTGACCCATCCTACCTAATGACTGTAAGCCCTGGGACTTCTACTGTCATCAGCTGGTAAAAGGAGTGCCTCTCTTCCCTGGGACAGGATGTGTGGCCCCAGCTGCTGCTGACCGAATGCCGCTTCAGGGGGCGAGCTTGCCTGAGCTTAAAGCTATAAGAAAGAAGCCACAGGAAGACTTGTTTGTTTTGAACTAAGGTTACACATATCCCAAGCTGGCCTTGAACTTGCTATGTAGCTAAGGATAACCTTGAACCTCTGGGTCCCCCATCTTCACTTTCTGAATGCTGGGGTTACAGGTGTGCTCCACCACAGCTGCTTTTTATTCCGTGCTGGGGGATTGGACTCAGGGCTTTGTGCAGGACAGGCAAGCACTCAACAAACCGAACTAAACCCCCAGCGCTACCATAGACATTTTTGGAGCACTTGGATCCAAGCCAGAAGCCAGTAGACCTGTCCAAACACGGGCAAGCGCATCTCACCTGAGTGGGCTCCTTTCGCCAAGTGTAAAGCATTCTGTTGACGGTCCAGTCTGACGCTGTTTATTATGAGAGTGACCGTCAGGGGCCCCGAGACTGGTCAGTGGCTCTGGACAGTGCTCCAACTCCTCCATGCCAGACTGGCACCTTTTCTTGCTGTCACATCCTGACAAGGTGACTTGGGACCTCAGTGCCACCGACAGTGGTGGTCCTTGTATAGGTATCTAGAGATGGTCCTGCTCTGCTGCCATTGCTGTGAAGTGGCAATGATCTGCACCATGTAGTCTCATTGCTGAGGTCCTTAAGCCATGTGGAGACTTTCTGAAGGCTCCATTATCGACCAGGCCAAGGCCTTCAGCTGCCAGCTGGGGATGGGTGAAGGCCTCAGGGCCAGTGGTGTGTCCTTTAATTTCTTATTAAATTAAGGTGTGTGCTAGCATGAGGTAGAGCCACTTCCTGCCTCAGTTTCTCCAACTTGCAATCTGTGGCTCCCTGCTTCTTTACCCAGACTAACCAGGTACTCCCTACCTGTCCTTAGGACTTGCTGCGTTCTCTCCACACTCTCCCTCCTTGCTTGGCCTTGCTATTTCAAAGTCCCAGACTCCTACAACCCCCATCCCCACCCCATCTGACTCTCTCTCAGGCTCACAGCTCATCCCGTGTCCCTGCGCCTCTCTCCCCCTAGATCTCTAGGTTTAGCTCCACCAGTCCTGCCTCAGGCAGCAACCTCACACCTGTCTGTTCCTCCCTCCCTCTCCTGCAGGTGGCCCACTCACTGCCAGTCGGGTACCAGCCCGGTTGCCATGGGAACCAGTGAGCCGCTTAGGAAGCTGCCATAGATCTAATCACTGGCTGCGAGGCTTCAAGGAACAGCTCCCTTTCTGTATGAAGCAACACAGACAGCCAATTAGGCGGCAACTGAGGACCGGAGGAGGCGTGGGGTGGGGTGCCAGGGGTGGGGGAGGCATGGGGTGAGTTGCCAGGGGTGGGGGGAGGAAAAGAGCCATGGAAGATGTCAACCAAGGAAGGGCCAGGCCTCCTGGTCACCTGGGGTCAGACCTACCCAGTCCCCACTGCCAGGGCTTCACTGGCACATTCAAACCCTCTGAGAAGGTATCAGTGATGTCTTCAGGACATTGACTCTGTTACCCCTGCCATTCCACTGATTCATCCATTTTCCTCTTTTATCCATTCATATACCAGACTTCCCTCTGGGTCATGGTCTCCAGACACGTGCCAGGCAGGTGCGGAAGACAGATCCTTATGTGGAAAGCTGCCCCTAGCGGACCCAGAATCACCGGTTGGAGGCACACGGGCTTAGGGACCACCTGAGGTGGGCAGGAGACCTTGCTGGCTGGGCTGGATAAAGAAAACAAGGGATCTGGGGGTGGTTAAACACAAACTGTCTCTAGGGGGAGAAATCGGATCATGTCAGTCAAGCCACAGGGGCCCTAGACTCCGTTCTGCAGGTGGGCATGGCATCTGTCTTTGAGGGTGCATTCCTGGGGATTCAGACAAAGCAGGGTGAGGCCCAAAGAAGCCACTGTGGGTAGAGACTCTTTATGGTGCCCAGGTTCCCTGGAGTCGGGAGGGCAAGAGTGGAGGATGGGGCGTGAGTTTCCACCTGTGGACACTTCCCCCACTGCACAGCTAACAGGGCTGTAGACAGCTCTTCTCAGGCCAGAAGGGGCTGCAGCTTGGGCCCCTCTCAGAGGCCTTTCCCTGAGACCAGGCTTTTGGTTTCTCTATTCCCAACCAGGGAATGTGTTTACACATAATTTGCATACATTTGCATGTGGTGTCACAGGCCCCAGCATAACATGTGGAAAGCACATTTTTCTCACCAGGGTGCTTTCATTCTGAATTAGAGCCCAGGTGCAAAGAGACCAAGGCTCTCCATTCCCCTCCAGCACCCCCCCCCCGTGCCCCCCCCAGACCATTGCTCCTGAATTCCTCCCCTCATGTCAGAGCCTTGACCCCATTTCCTACCCAGCAGCCAGCAAGCAGAGGAGGCCAGGATCCCTCTGCCCCTGGAGCAGTGTGACCAGTGTGACCAGTGAGCCTCCGTGTCTGCACCTGTCCTTGAGTGAGTCTGGTGCTTGTCATGGGAGCAGGATAGAGGGTGAGTCTATTTGCGCTCTGAGTACAGCATCCCAGGCCCCAGCGTTTCAGGAAGACTGGCCTTTCTCAAAGGACCACCCGTTTGTGCAATATGGGAGCTCAGAATGAGCCTCGAAGGTCATGGGAGACTTCCTGGAGAAAGTGTCATCTAAGTAAAGAGGGGCTCGAGGAGTCTTTCAGGCAGCAGAGAAATGTGCGAAGGGCCTGGGGTAGGAAAAGCAGGTGGGAGAGGAAGGCAGTGTGGCTGAATGGAGAGGGTGTGAGGTGAGAGCAGCCAGGAAGGACTGCCAAGGCCCCAGGAACTTCCTGGATCACTGTAGGTTTTCTCCCCTTCTCCTCCCCGTCCTTCCTTTTCCCTCTTTCCCTTTCAGAGACAGGGTCTTTCTCCATAGCCCAAGCAAGCTACGAACTTGTGACCTTCCTGCTTAGCCTCCCACGTGCTGGGACTGTAGGCGTGGGCCACCGTACTGGTCCTTGGGAGATGCTCTCTAATCCAGAGCTGCCCTTGCTCTGGGCGCAATGGAGCGATTAAGCAAGGGAGTGACGAAGAGCATGTGAATAATGGGTGGAGAGCACCAGCGGAGAGGCTGTGGGGTCCCCAAGAGAGAGGAGCAAGGGCTTGACAAGCTGCGTCACGGAGCTAGAGGGACAGGAAGAAGTGAAGCCCAGTGGTGACCTACTTAGACAGTTCACGGCAGGCCCCCAAGAATAGCATGTGTGTGTGTGAATAAGCCTGGAGTTTGAGTGGGAAGGTGAACCTTCAACCAAAGTGGCGGATAGTGGGTCAGGGAAGACCAGACTTGGGGAAAAAGAACCGAGATTGAATTACGATTCTGTCGGGTTTGTACAGCCTCGGAGGCAGCCTTGCCGCATCTGGGCAAGAGTCTAGATGACAAGAAAGGGTAGATATGGGTGTTGGGCTCTATTTACTGATCAACACCATCGTCACCATCATCACTACAACAATCACTGTCAACACCACCACGGCCGCTGTCATTATCTCCACCATTACTACCACCACCACTATCAACAAACTACCACCACCATCACCATCACCACCACAATGACCACCACCATCATTACCATCACTGCCACCACCACCATCATTACCATCACTGCCACCACCACCATAACCACAGTCATTATCACCATCATCATCATCACCACCATGATCACAGTCATTATCTCCACCACCATCACCGTCACCACCACAAAGACCACCACCATCATTACCATCACTGCCACCACCACCATGACCACAGTCATTGTCTCCACCATCCTCATCATCACCACCGTCTCCATGAACATCACTACCATTACCAACCAACCACTACCATTACTTCTGTGACTGCCCCCCACCGCTGCTGCCATCACCCCCACTTAACACTGTCACCCCCACCTGCCACAGGAACCGCTCTCATCCTTACTTTCTAGAAGTGCTGGGGCTCACTTGTCTGTAGTTAAGAGCTGAGGCTTATTTCTAAGAGCAGGCAGGACGTTGGCAAATGGCACCATTGTTCTTGGGAGTGTTTAAACATCTCTCTCCCCTCCAGGCTACAAGTACCTGGATGACTGAGCCTTTCTCAGAGTTTTCCTTGCTGACCACAGGCCTCATATACTAGGTGTAGTCTGTATTTGTTGAGTGAGTGGCTGGCTGTCAGCATTTTGTGTGAAATTCTCTGCCTTGCCAGCTCCACACTGTTTGGCTTGGGTTTCCCACCCACCTGTGCTCTTCACAGAGCTGGCCTGAGCACAGTTGGTGCTTAGCATACATCTGCAATTTACCCCAATACACAGCCCTGTCTCAAACAGGCTTAGGTTCCTGTGTGCGGCTGCCGGCCTCGCTTGATGTAATGGATATGTATTTCTCGCTGCCCACGTGGCTCCCCTCCCCTGCTGAGCACTGTGTTAAATGGCTGTTCGGCAGCTTGAGTGCACACATATTCCTTTCAAAATTATTATGTTCACCTTTTGTTGGCAGAACATGCCACATGAAACATCCCAACCTCTTATTGAGTGTGGGTGTCTGCTTCCCGCTGCTGCCTCCACCACCGTGCCGAGGCCCAGAAGCCTTGCCGGGGTTCCAAGTGCCTATTAGGCCAAGGAGGGAGTGGACCCCAGGCTGGTGAGGGAGCTGTCTGGATTAGCTGGAACTGACCCAGGCAGAGAAGTCATCACTGTCACAGCATCGCTGTCCCCACCATTGCCACTCAGCATCACCACCATAGCCACCACCGTCATACCATGGTTATCACCAACTCCATTACCTCTGCCATCAACACCAGCACCATCATTAACACCACCACTATCACCACCATCACTGTTGGGTAGCAGTTTCCTTCTAGATGAAAACCTTCCATTGTAGGGGGAGGCTCCTTAAGACACAGGACATTCAAGAGAGGTGAAACATTCCATCCTGCAAGGAAGTTCCTTAAGCTCAGGAAATAAACAACTCAATGGCTTCAGGAAGCTCCTGAAACTGACCAGATGCACTATGTAGTAAGACTTGTGGAGAGACTCTCAAGACAAACTGAACTACCTGAAAAAGACACACTCCAACCTGTTGAGCTGCCTGTAGGCTGTGTGGTGAGCTCCAGGCTTCCAGTTTGGTGGGCTGTTAACCCTGCTGGGGTGGGCTTTGGTGATGTAGCCCTTGAGTCATTTCTGCTCCTGTAACTAACCCCTCACCCATATTCCTGTAGGTAACTCCAATAAAACTCATTGGTCACCAGGCTGGACTTTGGCGGTGTCCACACTTGGTCTGTTGTTAGTTCCCTATCTGGAGTGAGTAGACATTTGTTCACGTCTACCCATCATGCACCATCAACATCACCCCCCACCCCACTGCCACCACCAGCTTGACTGTACTCCTCACCTCTGTTTCCTGTATGCCACCATCGCTACCACCAGCATTGTTAGTCATCATTATTATCATCTTCATCATCTTCACCATCATCATCATCATCATCATCATCATCGTCCCATCTCAGCCGCGGAGCGCTACCATCAATTATTAGTGTTGCTGGCATCTTTACCCGTGGTAGGTGTGGTGTCCAGGACCTCATGTGCATGCTTTCATGGAATCCTCAAAATGACCACAGGAGCAGAAAGCTTTCTAGTAGTCTTGCTTTTTTGGTTTGCTTTCTTCTGTTTGGGCCAGCCTCACTGCGTGGCTCAGACTGAACTTGCTACCCTCCTGAATACTAAGGTTACACAAATGCTGGGTTGTAGGCGTGTACCACCGTGCCTAGCCTTTTGTTCTTATTTTACGGATGAGAGAACAAACTAAGAGAAGTTACGGAGTTTGTGCAACATGGTACTTTCAAGTACTGGCTAAGCTTAGTCTGAAAACAACAACAACAATGACAACAACAACAAGCAAAAGCAAAAACAAATGAACAAACAAACAATCCCCTCCCCCAAGAAACACCACCACCACCAAGTCTCAAGCCAGCAGGTGTTCAGTGTTTATTATGAGCTACAGTGCCTCCCGTTGCTAGGAACACAGAAATGAGTGTATCTCCCGGCTATGGGGATCTTGACAGCTTTCTGAGGGACATCAGACAATGAAATTAACACAGAACAGCCTAAAGGAACGTGTCTTATGAGAGTTACCCCGAATGAGGTACCCCGAGGGCCAGAGAAAGGCGTCATTTGTGGTGGAGAGGGCGCTGTACATACACTTTTGAGAAGAGGGTGTCCCAACTTCTGGTTATCTAAAAGCCTTCTTGTCTTGCACTGTCCAGAGTCCAGTCAGCTCAAGCAAAGCCTGCAGCAATTCTAGCCTTGCACAGCCTGGCCAGGTGGTCTTTTGCGTGTATTTCCCAGGCCACCATCTTGGTTTCCTCTGGGAAAGGGAAGCAAGATGGTCGGACACTGTGAGGGAAAGATCAGTTTTGGGCAGAGCTGAGTTCCTCTCGGTTCCTTATAGGCTCTCCACGCTTATCAAGAATGGGAGGAGACCCTCATTAGCTGGATTATGTAGTAAACTGTGGCAGTTGGGGGGGGGGGCATGGCTCCTTGTCACTCTTCCCTGATGCCTCTCAAGGGGACTTCAGGGCACCTGTGTGGATCATGGAAGAGGCCAAGATTCTTCGTCCGCCCATCCATCAGGAGTGCACACTCCTTGTGGCTGGCGAGGTGATCCTTCCCTTAGTGGGTGAGGGTCCCAAGCATACATCTGGGCCTCTGGGTCAGAAAAACAGGCCAGCAGTTTCAGTCTGGCCTTCTGCCCAAGCAGCAGCTGGCCTGCTTCCCGAGAGCCTTGGGCAGGCAAGAGGGAGAGCTGACGGATTAGAAGCTGTCTGGTCGGAATGACGAGTGTAACTCCCACCTTTTGGCGCTCTCTCAAGAGACCGCAGCACAGCAGTTAACGTGCCTTTTGAAGGTTTCTGCACATTAGACTGAGGTTCTTCTGCTGTGACTCATGCTCAGGTTGTCTTCAAGGAGGAGGCAAGATGGCCTAGCTCCAAGAGCTTACACTCGACTGGTTCCTTTGCTCATTTGACAAATACTTTCTGACCTCCTCTGGAAGGACCAGGACCTGCGCTTGGAAAGAACCCTTGGGAGAGGACAAAACAGAGGCAGATTCTACCATCAGGACAGTGAAGGGCAGATGTACTGCACTCCCATGGCTACTGGAAATGGAAATGCAATTACAGACAATTTGGGGCCCTCCTCCAAGGAAGGGCTGCTAGGAAAACATGAAAGTGACTTGGGGTGTCATAATGGCAGTGCTTAGGGATGGCTACCCGGTGTTGGATGGACTGAGCTTTACCCTGAGAATGGCTTGCAAGCTGGATCATTGGTACCCACGTTATCTCAGTTATTCCTATTGGATCACTTCCAGTGCTTGTCTTTGTGGTTACTGACTCATCCATTTCACCCTTACCCTTAGGAAATAAGAACTACTGTTATTTTACGGATTGGGAAACCGAAGCACAGAAAAACTGAGTAAATATTCTGATGCTATACAGTTAGTAAATTGTCGGGTGAGGGCCTGCACCCAAACGCATTGGGAGGGGGGTGAGTTCTCAGTGGATGGAACAGAGGTGCACGGAAAATGACTGGTGACTAGAAGGAGGAGGCAGAGCATTCACAGACCCAGATGAGGCATGCAGCTGGGCACAGGGCTCTAGGAACAGCAGGGCCGAGGCAGGCATAAACAGGGGATGTAGAATAGGTGTTGAGATTTGCCTTGGGTTAGGATCTTGCCAAAGGGAGCTCTGTAGGGGCAAATCCTGGGTCCATTCTTCCCCCTGTGTATACCCAGGTCTGGGTACCTGAGCTGTCACAGGACAGGAGGTATCCAACTGTCACCTGGTGAGTGACTGTACAGGGAAGTTCAGCTGTCACCTGTTGATGTCCTCAGTTGGGAAGTTGGGAAGCCAATGGAAATGGCAGCATGGGGTTGGGGTTCTGCCCTTCAGACACTTCTGGGAACACACAAGGAGAGCATCGCCTCTAGTCTGTCTCAGTGTGGTCAGCGTATCTCTTGGAAGACAACATCCTGGGCTGGTTCATTGCTCCCTCTTCTAACTTGGGGCTGTTGGCATCAGTTCCTGGGCTGAGTCTGGCCATCCCTAAGCACAGATTGGATCATAGCTGAGCTTAAATTCTACATGTTCATGTTCTATAGACTGCCTAGAAGTCTGTTGAGAATCAATCAGTCTGCCTAGAAATCTGTTGAGAATCAATCAGTAAATCATTAATCTGCCTAGAAATCTGTTGAGACTCATTCATTCATTCATTCATTCATTCAATCAATCATTACTTTACCAACCAATTAGCTAACCTGGAGAAGAGAGGGTGAAGTGATGGGGGATGACGGGAAGAGGTGAATCAAGAGAAGAGATGGAGGGAGACTGACGGTACAGCTGAGGTGTAATGTGGGGGCAAGGGGTAAGGGGGGAGAGTGCAGGACCAAGTAGAGGCTAAGGGGGAAGATGAGGCCCGCCAAAGGGATGAGATGGTCCTCAGGTCATTCCTGAGAAGTAACAGCATTGAGTGTCTGACAGAAAGACTAGGCTTGTGCCACACACCTGTTATCCTAGTACTTTGGAGGATTCAGAATTTGAGTACAGCCTGGGGGCTGCTTCATGATGAGACTCTATCAATAAAAGAGAAGAAAAGAAGGAAGGAAAGGAAGGAAGGAAGGAAGGAAAGACGGAAGGGAGGGAGGGAGGCAGGAAGGGAGAGAGAGGGAAGGGAGGGAGGGAGGACAAGTAGGCAGGCGGGTCCTACATCAGCCATTCTTGACAAGTTACGGGAGAATAACACAGCTTGCAGGTGCTGAGGGAAGGGCAGCCAGCTTTCCTATCTCCCCCTCAGGGTTCAGGGACTCAGTTGCTCTGAGAACCCCTGAGCTGCTTCTCACAGTCAAGGGCCGTGATCCCTGCTCCAAGATCATTTCTGTCTAGATTTGAGTCCCACTTCTGCCCTGTACTGACCAGGTGCCATCAGGCAAGTGACACACCTCCTCAAGCCTCAGTTTCCACATCCTTAAAGTGGAAGTTACCAAAGTGCCCGAGAGCAGTGCAAACAGCGATTGATCTGATAACCGCAGGGCCACACTTGCCCGCTTGTTCGCACACGTGTTTTCTGCCTGGATGCCATTCCAGGCCATTCCTTCGGACCAGAGGTCTCAATCTTTGACTCGGAAGATTTCTTCTCAGGGAAACCTGCTCTCTCAGAGGGAAGCTGGATCTGGATCTGTTAGGAGTCTCTGTGTGACTAGAATAGTGAGGTAAGCTTTGACACGGCCAGAGTGTGGACCAAGGTCCTAGTACCCAGCATGGGACTCAGCACAGAACAAGGAACCACAGGAAAATCACTTGAAACAATAGATTAAAAAAAGATTGAATGATTAGAATGAACTGTGAGGGGAGATGAAGAGAGAAGGGAGGGGTAGGAGGAAAAAGGGAAACGTGAAAGAAAAAGAAAAGAAAGGAGAGAAGGAGAAATTCAAAGAAGAGATGGGTAGGGCAAGAAGGTGGAGGGATAGCTTTGGCTCAGGCCTTCATGGTGCCCCCTACTTCACAGAACTGACACCCCTCAAGCCTGCTTCCTCTCCCCTGCCCACTCTCCCCCCTTTAATCTCACCCCGCCAGGGCTTCAGTACCTCTGGCTCTTACAAAAACTATTCATTGTTCTCTTGCCTACTCGGCTCTTCTCTGCATCTTAGGTGCCAAGGAGGGTGGCATCATCAAGGTGAAGCTTGTCTGACACCAGGCCGGGTGGGGCTGACTCATCGGAAGATGCTCTTCACCCCCAGGCTGGGGTGCAGAAGCCAGCTTGGCGGGCTGAGTGTGCCCAGATGTTCCTGACTTCTGCAAGAGGGTGGTAGCCCAACTCAGAAAGCCGCGTAGGCTACACTGGTTTGTAAAATCAAGTGACAGGGGTCAGAGAAGCCTTGGCCGAGGTGGAGGGGACAGAACTCCTGGATGCTGAGGGAAGTGAGAGGTGGTCCAGCTGTCAGAGCACTGACTCTGCTGGGAATTCTGGAGCCACTTATGGGCATTTCCTTGGGCAAGGCCCAGGGGATCTGGGATGTGGAGGATGGGTGCAGGTGGCAGAGGAGGGAGGAACAGACATTCCAGATGAAGTGGAGGCCAGCTAGGAAAGACAGGTAGAGGCAGAGGCAGAGACAGAGACACAGGGAGCGACAGTCACATAGAGAGAAACAGGCACACACACACACACACACACACACACACACACACACACACACAGAGAGAGAGAGAGAGAGAGAGAGAGAGAGAGAGAGAGAGAGAGAGAGAGAGCACTTTTGCAGACTAAGAGGTAGATGCTGAGGTCTAGGAGAGTTATGACATCTTGCCCTAATTGCACATGATGGCCACAGGGAATTAGCTAACAGCTCCTTTTTAAAACAACAACAACAAAACCCCTACATACCTACTGTGTGTCAGGGCCCATGCTGAGTACCTACTGTGTGTCAGGGCCCATGCTGAGTAAGTACTCTAGGACCTTGACTCATTCCATTCCCTCTCTAGCTTCTGCTGTAGACATCAACACTACCTCTGTATGAGAACAGCACAGGATGGGAAGCTAGAGAAAATCCTAAAGTCCATGGCTGGAGAAGGAAAATCAAGATTCGAACATGGACGTCAGAGCCTCCCTCTCTGTGGCCTGTGGGGGCCTTCTGTCCTTCTGTGTAGGCCTTACTGACTATTGTAAAATATGATACATGCTGTCTTAAGATGCTAAGTGGGAGTAGGAGAGATGACTCAGTGGTTAAGAACACCGGCTGCTCTTCCAGAGGATCCAGGTTTGGTTCCCAGCACCCACATGGTGGCTCACACATCTGTAATTACAGTTCTGAGAAAATCCAATACCCACTTCTGGCCTCCACAGGTACAAGGCACACATGTAGTACATAGACATACATGTACCATAACACACAAACACACAAAAATATAAAAAACTTAAATGTTGGAAAATAGAGTTCAGGGAGAAAAAAGTGTTTAAGTCATGCATTTTTTTTTTCCAGATGAACTTTTGTGTCCAGATTTGATTTTTCTATACTTTTGGGATTCTTGGACACAGATAGAGGCTGGGTCAGACCAGGGCTGGATTGAGGAGTGGGTGGGTGGCAAGATGGCAGTCCACTCCACAGAGGATGACATCCTTCATAGGAGGCTAGTCGGTGTTCCTGGCTTCTATCTAAGGCAGAGTTTCTGGGTTCCCTGTTGACCTCCACGCCTTGCTTAGGAGGGTGGTAGTTCCAGAGAGTCTCTCATGCCTTCGGCTTGCTTCTGTGCTTCCGGAGGCATTGCTGACTCTAAGATCATGCCTGGCAGTCAGGCTCCCCCAAACTCAGCAGGTGTGCCGTTTAACACGGAGGACCTGCTAAGGCCCAGCAAAGGTGTGTGTGTGTGTGTGTGTGTGTGTGTGTGTGTGTGTGTGTGTGTGTGTGTGTGTGTTTCTTTCTGAGTCCCTCTGTTTTGAGAGCAACTTTGCTCTTTCCATAATGTCAGTTGCTTTGCATGTTTTTGATTCCAGGTCATATAATTCTATCCCCTGAGCATAACGAGCAGCAATTTCTGGTACCACAGTTGCCTTGGCAACATCATCCCAAATTTCCTCCTAGAGGGACTGGAGAGGCCTGTGATGAGGGTGGGGGCCGGCTTGGATGGGGCTGGAGTCCACTAGGTTTAGGACATTGGGATTATATTATCCAGATGCCCTCAAGGAAGCCCTGAGGCTCAGCCTAGCGCTTGAATTGTCACCAGTGACACTTAGTTCTGTCCCTGTGCCTAGCTATGCTCCCATATGAAGAGAGGCAGGATCCAGGGTTCATTTTTTATTTTTTAAACTTGAAGATATGAGGCAGAGCTGAGTCCTGTGCAGACTGAGCCACCTGACAGGCAAGGAACGGCTGCAGAGAAATTGTGTCAGGCTCCTTTGAAGTTACAGGCAGAGAACAGGGGAGCAGCGGAGGCTGTAAGTGGTGGGTGACAGGAGCAGGCTGGTGACCAGCAAATAGCACAGAGAAGTACCTGGAGAGGAGCTGGGCCAGAATGAGCATCAAGGGAGGGCAGGGCCAGTCTGAGGACCTGCCCCAGGCATCCCGGAAGAGCAGGGCCAGTCTCAGGACCTGCCCCAGGCATCCCGGAAGAGCCCTGTGCTGACAGGGTCTCACCTGTTGTCATGAAGGACACCCTTCAGCTGCTCTTGGCTGAGAAAACAAAGCTGGGGCAGGAAGTGTCCTGAGTCCAGGATCCTAGGGGAGGCTGTTCCTCATTTGCTTCTCTTTAGAGAGGGCTCTGTGAATCAGTAACAGCTTCTCTCTCTCTCTTTCTCCTTTGCATTTTCTGTCTCTGTCTCTTCATACTCCAACCCCTTGCTTCCCACCCATAACATCTGTCCCCTCGTCTCCTCCATCCCTTTATTTCCCCTCCTCTCTTTCCACCCTTCCTGTGGCCTCTCTCTCTCCTCTCCTTTCTCTGGCTCCCATCAGCTGACCAGAAGCATAGCAGTTCTCCATGTCACATGCCGCAAAGCCAATCTTAATTAAAATTAATTAATTAGTTCAAAAGCCCACAGGGCTCCTTCTGCCTCCCAGCCACCATCTGGGCCTGCCTCCATTTGCCCGTAATCTAAACATCAACCCAAAGGAAAATTACAGGGAAAGAAAAAAAATCCATTGCTCAAAATACCCAGAGCTAAGCAGACATGCATTTAGGCCAACACTTCCCACACTGGCTACTATTCTTCAAGTCCTGGAGTTAGGGCAGGCAGTTGAGCCAAGCTGTAGGAAGTATAGACACTGGAGCCTGCCCACTTGGGTTCATATCTTTGCTTTGTAGTACACTGAATATGTGACTCTGGGCAAGTCCTTTGTTGTTCTGTACCTCAGTTTTCCTCTCTGCAAAATGGGAACAGTGATAGTACCTTCCTCCTAGGAGAGTACAGTGCCTGACCCTTAAGGGAAATTCACTACATGTTATTTATTCCTGTAATTGTTCCATGGGAGGAAGATTGGGAACACTGAATACTTCCTGCTCTTGTCTCAGAAATAATAAACACGCCATAGCAACACATCAGAGGGTCCCGAAGTTCTACAGGCAAAAGGCCCGTTTGACTTAATTTACCTCCATAATCCCAACACTTACTTTGGCTGCAGTTCCCCCTTTCTTTCTTTGCATTCATGAAACACCTGTCTTGGGGTGCTCCTGTTGTCGAGGTCACGGTTTG